AAGGGGGGGGGGGGGGGGAGAGTCAGAGGCTGCGATATATTTCTTCAGCCAGTTCATTAAATTAATTCGTAAGCAGTGGCTCTGAAATTATACCCGATGAAAAATGGTCTCAAAATTTAAATGGTACAAACTCATCTTATTAGAGGCAAAACATTAAAAAACAAACGCGTCTCCCCCTCTCTTGCCACCACGGCTTTAATTTCTCTTGGTGGGGGGAATGAAAGGCTCTTGATGGATGGCTCTTACCTTATTCATAAGCGAGGATAAAAGAGATGAATTTGCCGAGACTGTGTGGCCATTTGATTCATTACTGGAACACACAAACCAACAGGGTTTAGTTAAGATGTGCATAGGGGAACTGCAATTAATTCTCCTTTCAAATTGGCAACCCCCTCCCCACGTTCCACCTGATGCATAAGAAGGATGAGACGAAGCCCACCCTTCTCTCGGCCAGGTCACGCTCACTACGCGTGGCAGGAAAAGCCTCAAGGCTCAGTCCACATCTCAGCAAGGGGGCCCCTAAGGGGTGTCTTCTCCCCCAGTGGCTCCAGCCCCCTCCCCGTCCCAGGGAATAAGGGAGATGGCTTGGCTAACTCATGGGAAGCACCACGACCTCCCTTTCTAACTTGATCCCAGCCAGCATCCAGACAGGAGCCTTCGATAGCCCAGCACCCTTCGACTGTGTTAGGAGACAAGGCCAGCAGTGCCTCCTGGCCTGGCCAAAGATGGTACCCGGCTCCCAGTTGGAGAAGGCTGCCTTAAAGCTGAGCTCAGCTCTTTCTGAGAAACCCCACAGGCAGAGAGGCCAACCATCGGAGACTAAGACACACACTGGGGCCGCTGAAAAGCTGAGCCAGTGGTCCTCCTCCTTGGAGTGGGAGGTCCTCCACTCACACACTCCTTGGGCCCTGCGGAGGACAGACTGCCACCAGCCCAAATGCGTCCCAAGGCTCCATTTAAGAAAGAGCCAGCTGGACCTCTTCCATCTACAGGAGGGGGAGACAACCTGGTGCCCTCCAGGTGTTCTGGGCCCAGCCGGCCTGGCCAGTGGCAAGGGATTGTGGGAGATACAGTCTGAAAAACTGGATTGCTTCCTCTACCCTGAAGACCCTCCTTTCTTACCCATGATCTTTCACGCTGAGGTCCAAGCTGTGTTCCTGCAAGGAATCCTGGGCTGCCGTGGACCCGGCACTGGGATTCTCAGCAGCCTCTTGCTTCATCTGAGTCGGGTTAAACCGTCCAGGAGTTGTTGGCTGCCCGTTTCCTGCATTTATGAAAGAGGGAGATGGAAAAGTGGGGAAAAGAGGGACCCACAAAGTTTCAATAAATAGAGTAAGGGAAACCAACAATAAACGTCAGCCATAAGAAATAATGCACCAGTTTAAACTCACGCACACACACGGAGAAAACACACACCCCCCCCGTACAGAGTCAGTGTGGGGAAGAGAGTGGCCTGGCCTTGCTGGTCAGCATTTATTGCTGGGCTGACGTGATGGGGTCTGACGTCCATCCTGGTGTGGAAATTCTTCAAGTGATAATTATTGCAAAAATTATGTCAAAGTTGTCCAGGCTATGGGCTCTTTAAAGGAGAAGGATGGAAGGAGCGAGGGGGAGATCTGATGCTCTGTGCAAGCTGTCATAACTAATTTGTGGGGCTGCCTCTTAAACATTTATTAAAGATGCTGTTAATGCTGAGGCAATGTGGCAGCTTTGGACTGCTAGTCAAGCCCCTTCCCCTTCCCCAATCTCCATGTTGCCTTGGTGACTGGCACCGGTCTCTCCACTGAGCATGCCCAGAAGGAACGTCTGCCATGTCAGCTCTATCGAAAATGACACCCAATCGCATTGGTTCAAACTGCGTGGCCCCTCTGCCCCAACACGGGGTCTCGACCAAATGGTGCCTCCTGACCCTCCCACCAACGCCTCCTGGGCATCAGCACTGGCGCTCCTCCTCCCCTAACCTCCAACTCTCATTTGGAAAAGGGAAAGTGGCGAAACTCGAAAGAAGGCGGAAATGCCCAAGTTCAGGGAGAAAAATTCTGCACGCAGGAGAGGATTAAAACATGACAGGGAAAAGTTGCTGACAGGAACATGTCTGCTGAGCTTCTTGCCACTACTCCCCAGTGACTAAAATATTAATTTGCCCAGAGGCACTTCAGCTGATGGGGAACTGCTCCGCAGACAGCAAGCGGCTTTTTATTAAAAAAATCAAGAAAAAATAGATCCATCAATGACCACTCTCCTTGTTAAGAAAGATCCCCCCCGGCCTTTTTAAAATAATGCAAAGAATAAAAGGCTTTCTGGAAAATTTGCTGGTTTTCTCCCCCTTGCCGTGACCTAGCCCCAGCTGGACGTGAAAGGGCCAAAAGCATCCCCAATTCCAGCCTGGCGGCAGGGCTACCTGTGACTTGCAGGGAGATGGTGAATAAAACCTTCAGGGTTTGACTCTTCTCTCAAGCTGTTCTCCAGGCCCCCCTCCCCGGCAGTGTATAATCTTCCTTTGGAGACCAGGGGGAGGCCACGTTCTCAGGGACCAATAACAGGTTCCCATTAGGCCAATGGGCTAGTGCCTCGAAGAGCGGCCGACGACAGCCGCCTGGGTGCCTTATCCCCAGGGGAGGAGTTCTCTCGAGGTGCTTCTGTCCAGCCTCTGAGCACGACTCCTGAAGATTTCTCTCGCACCTCCGTTTATAACCATTTTTTTCGGGCAACCTGGAAGCTTTCTGTTTTGACACTTACTCACTTCAGTAGCACCCTTTGAAAAACAGGACCGAGAGGCTGGTGACTGCAAAGAACATGCTGAAAAAAGTCAGTGCAGCCACCTGCAACAACTAGTTCTCCACCCTCCTTCTCTGCAAAAAAAGAGATTTTTCCCATCTTTCGTGCCATGCGCTTTTCAGGTGGGACTTTGCTCCGGCACG